GGACCTAACAGAAGCAGAAGATATTAAGAAGAGGTGGCAAGAATACACAGAAGAACTGTACAAAAAAGATCTTCATGACCCAGATAATCACAATGGTGTGATCACTCACCTAGAGCCAGACATCCTGGAATGTGAAGTCAAGTGGGCCTTAGGAAGCATCACTATGAACAAAGCTAGTGGAGGTGATGGAATTCCAGTTGAGCTATTACAAATCCTAAAAGATGATGCTATGAAAGTGCCGCAGTCAGTATGCCAGAAAATTTGGAAAACTCAGCAGTGGGCACAAGACTGGAAAAGGTCAGTTTTCATTCCAATCCCAAAGAAAGGCAATGCCAAAGGATGTTCAAACTGTCACACAGTTGCACTCATCTCACATGCTAGCAAAGTAGTGCTCAAAATTCTTCAAGCAAGGCTTAAGCAATACGTGAACCGTGAACTTCCAGATGTTCAAACTGGGTTTAGGAAAGGCAGAGGAACCAGAAATCAAATTGTCAACATCCATTGGATCATCGAGAAAGGAAGAGAGTTCTAGATAAACATATGCTTTATTGACTATGCCAAAGCCTTTGACTATGTGGATTGTGGATGACAACAAACTGTGGCAAATTCTTAAAGAGATGGGCATACCAGACCACCTGACCTGCCTCTTGAGAAATCTGTATGGAGGTCAAGAAGCAACAGTTAGAACTGGACATGGCACAACACACTGGTTCCAAATCAGGAAGGGAGTACATCAAAGCTGTATATTGTCTCCCTGCTTATTTAACTTGTATGCAGAGTGTGTGAAATGCCAGGCTGGATGAAGCACAAGTTGGAATCAAGATTGTTGGGAGAAATATCAATAACCTTAGATATGTGGATGACACCACCCTTATGGCAGAAAGTGAAGAGGAACTGAAGAGCCCTCTTGATGAAAGTGAAAGAGGAGAGTGAAAAAGCTGGCTTACAACTCAACATTCAGGGGTCCCCTTGTGGTCCAGTGGCTAAGACTCTGAGCTCTCAATGCTGGGACCCTGCGTTTGATCCCGGGTTGTGGAACTAGATCCCACATGCCACAACGAAGACCCTGTGCAGCCAAATAAATAAAAATAAATATTAAAAAAAACCCTCAACATTAAAAAAACTAAGATCATGGCATCCAGTCTCATCACTTTATTGGAAATACATGGGGAAACAATGAAGACAGTGATAGATTTTATTTTCTTTGGCTCCAAAATCACTGTAGATGGTGACTGCAGCTGTGAAATTTATTTATTTATTTATTTATTTTATTATTATTTTTTAAAGATGCTTGTTTCTTGGAAGAAAAGCTATGACCAACCTAGACAGCATATTAAAAAGCAGAGGCCTTACTTTGCTGACAGAGGTCCATCTAGTTAAAGCTATGGTTTTTACAGTAGTTATGTGTCGATGTGAGATTTGGACCATAAAGAAAACTGAGCACCAAAGAATTGATGCTTTTGAACTGTGGTGTTGGAGAAGACTCTTGAGAGTTCCTTGGACTGCAAGATGAGATTTGGACCATAAAGAAAGCTGAGCACCAAAGAATTGATGCTTTTGAACTGTGGTGTTGGAGAAGACTCTTGAGAGTTCCTTGGACTGCAAGGAGATCCAACCAGTCCATCCTAAAGGAAATCTGTCCTAAATATTCATTGGAGGGATTGGTGCTGAAGCTGAAGCTCCAGTAGTTTGGCCACCTGATGTGAAGAACTGACTCATTGGAAAAGACCCTGATGCTGGGAAAGGTTGAAGGTAGGAGAGATGGGGATGACAGAGGGTGAGATGATTGGGTAGCATCACCGACTCAATGGACATGAGTTTGAGAAATCTCTGGGAGTTGGTTTTGGACAGGGAAGCCTGGCGTTCTGCAGTCCTATGGGGTTGCAAAGATTTGGACACAACTGAGTGACTGAACTGAATTGAACTGAATAATGAGATTATTTCAGGGAAAACAAAATAAAACAAAACCTTACAATAAAAAAGAAAAATGTCAGAAAAATCAGTAAGAAATAAATATATCCATTTCCAACTTGGGTCAGAAGAAAGTACTAATCATTTTATCCCAAACAATTATTTTTCCCTTACTTCACTTACTCCTCTAAACTCTCCTCTGTCTTCAGGATCTGACCTAAGTTTGAGCATCCCTGTGAATCTATTAATGAACCCTTCAGTCTCTGTGGATTCCTCTCTCCCCCAAATTCCTCTGGTCTTCTACCATTTCTTCCAGAAAATTTAACATTTGTTTCAAAGCCACAGTTTGTTTCCTTCTCAGAGTGAAACTAGAAATCAAGCTAAAATCTTATAAAATAGACCACCTGGGAAGGTGACCGTTCTAAGGCTGAGCAAGTCAATAGCTGAAAAGACTTGAGAAAACCAGTGTCCTAGTCAAGATGCTACTCAGAAGGTAGAACCGAAACTCCCTTGTAACTGGAGAGATGAAACCCATTAAACTGAACTATAGCCCCGCTAAACGCTTCTCAACCGACATACCAATTATTTTTGTCTATCTTTGGTCCTGAACAGAGTGACTTTAGGTCTGCACTTTGCTTTCTTTATGACTAATCGCACAATCACATCAATTAGTTGAATAACTTTTTTGGGGCAGACTTTAAAACTCTCTAGGCTTTAATTTTCCTATCTAGAAATCAATACATTGACCAGATAAATTCCGAGCTCATAATAGACCTGTGGATCCGCTTTGTTTTTCTCCCAGAATTATGCTTCAGACCCATGATTTCCTACTCAATCGGTTATCAACCTGAGTATCAAAAGGTATATTACATCTATCATTGTTTTGTGCTTCTTACTATGTGGTACTTATGCCACTCACATAATGTTGATATAGGCGAGATGAGTAAGACACCTGTGAGCTGGAGGATGGGGTGAGGGGAGGAAGGGACAGACTTAGGCGTTAACAGGACAGGTCATAGTGCTGTCTAGTGGGGAATCTGTTTTTATTTTGTTCAATGCCAAGGAGAAAGTGACTCTACCAACTAAAGCGATTTTGGTGTTCCCTCAACTGCTCTGGTGTGTTACTTGTGGGAGGATATGCAGTCTGTAAAGGAAAAACAAGTCCTGGGTGCTTGGATTGTAGAGACATTTCCCAGATATTAATCAGTGTTCTGTGAAAGATGGATGTTTTTGGTCCAATAAATTTAGGAAATATTGTAAACTATGCCCATCACTTTTGGAGATTTTCACTGTTGTTATGTTAAAGGTCAGAGAATTCTGGCAGTTGGGAAACTATCTTGGTCTGAAATTTCAAATATCCCAAAGCATATACTATGGAAAATTTTGGGTTAGAGAGTCAGAACATTTCAGTATCTCAAAAATATCAATAAAGCAAATGTTATCTGACAAACATACAATAATTAAAGATTGGTCTTTGATCAAATATGTAAGAAAAGACTAAGGATATGTCTTGGATATGGATTGAATGACATACTCAAATTCTGTAAAAGTTGTGAATAGTTTCTAAAAAAGACCACAGCTAGCACTTTATATTTTTTCCAGAAAGGTAGAGGAAGCATTTTCTGAAGCATAAAACCATTGCTTCCACAATCTGTTTGTGTCAAAATTACCCAGAGTGCCTTGGCCCCAATCCAGACCTACCAATTCTGAATCTCTTTGCTCAGGAATGGCATTTTTGACAAATTCTGTATTTGATTCCAATGCACAGTTAAGTTTGAAATCATTGGTCTAAACCATAGTTTAAATGACATAGTAATGTCATTTAATTGATAAATAGCCAAGCAGTTTGTTGAAGCCACTTGCAGGCAATTGAAATGATGTTTAAAATGGTGATTGCATATTTAAATTAGCCTAAAATATTATTTAACTAATAATGTACCTGAAATAGTACATTGTTTAGAGAATATACCGACAGTCTTCAGAGGAATAGCTTGAAAGTATCAGCAGCTTATACACATGTAATTAGAGTGCACCCATGAGGGCACTCTGATCACAAACATTGGTCCTGATAAACACATTCAGTTGAACTTTGTTAATTTATATATAATGGCAGAACTAGTTGTGACATTTTTTTCTTTCTCTAAAATTTTTTGATTATTTGGTAAAGGAAAGTGTGAAGTCACTCAGTCGTGTCCAACTCTGCGACCCCATGGACTATAGCCTTACCAGGCTCCTCAATCCATGGGATTTTCCAGGCAAGAATACTCTAGTGGGTTGCCATTTCCTTCTCCAGGAGATCTTCCCGACCCAGGGATTGAACCCGGGTCTCCTGCATTGTAGACAGACGCTTTACCGTCTGAACCACCAGGGAAGTAAGTATGTGGTTAATATGCTTCCCAGGTACATCTGTGCAGTAAAGAATCAGGTAAAGAATCCTGCTAGTACAGGAGACCCAGGTTCAATGCCTGGGTCGGAAAGATCCCATGCAGTAGGAAATGGCAACCCACTCCAGTATTCTTGCCTGGAAAATGCCATGGACAGGGGAGTCTGGCAGGGCTACAGTCCATGGGGTTGCAGAGTTGGACATGACTGAGCTACTGAACACAGCAGCACATGAGGTTAATACAGATTTTGAAATAACTCGTGGAAGACAGAGTAGAAACCAAAATTGGTCATCTTTAACTTTACCCCTGCTTTCTTCATACCTATCCCCCATTATAACACATACAAATTCCTATGTAGAAGTAGTTTTAGAGTGATAAAGCCAAAGATCTTTTCTGGTTAAAAACACTTGAAATCATTCACCCTTGCCATGTGATTTTAAAAATATTATCTTATGGAAAGTTTAACAATGACTAATGCAAAAGCTTATTTCTGAGATGCCTTGGATAGGGAACAAAAAATACCTCTACAACACAGAGCAGCTTTATTCTCTTCCCCAAGTTTCAAAACACTAGAGTGATTCCAACCTTGCACTTTAGAACCTGGTATTATCTGAGTTAATCTTTATGCTGATTAGGTAAAGTAGCTGTTTGAATGTGTCTTTTAGCCCTTGTTGAAAGCATTACTAGCTGTGGTTTCAAGCCTCATAGTGAGGTCCTATGCCAGCACAGACATACTTTGGGGTTTGTACATAACATGTTCACTGAAGTCTGAACCCAGTTCTGACTCTAGTGCCCATGATCTTTCACTCCGCCACACCGGCTTCCAGAAATTAGTAAGATGTGACCAGTATCTCAATAGATTCTCCTTCCAATTTGGAATGAAAGTGAAAGTGAAAGTGAAGTTGCTGTCGTGTCCGACTCTTAGCGACCCCATGGACTGCAGCCTACCAGGCTCCTCCGTCCATGGGATTTTCCAGGCCAGAGCACTGGAGTGGGGTGCCATTGCCTTCTCTGCTTGGGATACAGGTATATAAACAGATGATTGCTGCAGAAAACTTAATGGAGAACTACAGAAGATGATGCTAACTCTACCTGGGCATGTCAGGGAATGTATCACATAGGAGGTGGTGATTGTAGTGTTTCAGTGAAATTTCACCAAGGAAGACAGGCAGAGGACACTCATATGTGTAGTAACATGCCCTCAGTCATAGCTAAAAGATTAACTCTCTCACCGTTGTATAGCCATTTTTGGTGTTACTAACCCCCCTACCCCATGCTCTTCTAACAATTTCTGTGCCTGTTTTAGCACTTATCCTATATAACAATTAATGTCCATGCCTACTTTCTTTCTAGACTCAGAGGCCTTAACCAAAGATCTTTTTTTATCTTTGTGTACCTCATAAAGACTAGGCATTAGTAAATATTTGCTGAGCCAGTTAACTAATGAGAGTGAAAGTATTTTCTGCAATTTTCAACATTCTATAATTAATATATTTCTGAAGTTTTATTAAAATAAAAATATTTTATATATATAGTAATGGAAATAACTCAAGTGATCCAGTGACATTCATTTTATATATAAAACCATCCCTATATTTAGACTTTGTTTAAATCTAGATTCCACTAGCTTTGCTTTGAACAATTTCCTTTTCATTCATTCACTCACTCATTCATCCTTATAACAGATATTCAGTAAATATTCATTGAGCACCCAGCACATGTCAACCACTGTTCTAGATGCTAGACATCCAATGATGTCCAAATACACACATTGCCCCTGCTTTTGAGATAAAAGAGCTAGTGGGGACAAGATGTATTAATCAAATAATCACAAAAATAAATGTATACTCTCAAATGTAAATGTCAGGAAGGAAAGGTACATAGTACAACTGAAATGGAAAACAAGACTTCAGGGTGAGACTAAGAAAATGCCATTTGAGTTGTGAGCTAAGCGATGAGTTAAGTGCCCAGAGGGCCAAACTGGGAAATGGGGAGGGATTTCTAGGTAGAGAAAATAGAATGGACATGGGCCCTGTGGGGGAGTGGAGCATGGCCTGTTCAAAGAACTGAAAGAGAGGATGAGAATGACTAACTACTAGACAGTGGTGATGACAGTAATGGTGTAATCAGGGCAGCGTGTTCAGAAAAGAGGCTTTGAGGGGTAACTTGTTGAGAGATAAAGCTGGTTGGAGTTAGATATTAAGGCCTGAAAGACAATGTTAAGAAGCCTGGCCTTTGTTCTATGAGTAGTGGGAAACCACAGGGGAGAGAGAGTAGATGGGTAACATACTGAGAAATTCATTTTAGTTCTGTTGAGGGGGAGGGGGCTGGGGAAAAGTATAGTAAGAGAAGATGTAGGGGGATCCCGAAGGAAGCTATTGTGCTAAAATCCAAGTATGAGGTATGGCTTTTAGCAAAGGTTGGAAGAAGTGCCCCATTTTAGGAATAATTCAAAGAAAAGTCATACATTAGAATGCAACTACTTGCCTAATCCTTTTAGAATTTTCTTCTCCAGCTTTTGCTCTTTGCTGCCGACAGGCCCTTTGGCTGCGGATGGCTCTCCAGTGGCTTCGGGCTCTCTCTCGGGCTCTTCGGGGGCCTCCTCGCAGTCTCCATCCTCATTGTCAGGTGGGTCTGTGTTCTCAGGCTGCTCCTTGACCATGATGGTAGCCTCCTTCCCTGCAGCGGACCCGTACGTGTTAATGATGTCTTCCAGTTGTCGGTTCAACTCTTCAGAGATATCCTGGGCTCCCCGTTCCGGCTCTATACCTGCCGCCTGCTGTGGTGCTGGGTGTGGGGTTGAGCAATCCTGATTGCTTTGCTTCTCCAGGCCATTGTGACTGGACAGGGCTGAACCGGCCCCCGCAGGCGTTGATGGTGGCTCCCCCGACAGCTGCCCAGGCTGATTGCTCTCCATACTGGGAGTGGTATCTGGTAGTAATCACAGCCAGGGTTGATGTAGTTAACCCAGTTACAGGCAAATGGTAAGGCTATCCCCACACTGGTACCTACTGATTACAGTTTCTAACACAGAACGAATGTACTTCCACAAAGCATTGATATTGCAATTAGTTGGGCAGGAACAGTGAGAAGCATTTCCAAATTAAGTCATACAGTTAGCATGTGTTTGATTTTGGTCTTTAATTTCCAATAGTATCCCCTATTGTTGACATTAACAGTTAATTCAAGGTATTATTTTTCATGGTCATATCTGTCATTTTGCTTAGAATAGCCAATGTGTGTTACCATTCTCATCTATAATTCTATGTAGATTTACAATAATTGGAAATACATTAATTTAATGTTTAATCTACATTTAATGTCTGCATTTAAATTGATACTTTTCCCCTAAAGTTAAAACATTGAATATAAGAGCCACTGACCTTACTAAAATCACTCATAACAGTAACAGTCTAAATTCTATTTTAGTGCATATTGATTAGTGTGAGCTGATTGTGTGTTAGTCACTCAGTCATGTCTGACTCTTTGTAGTCCAGTGGACTGTAGCCCGCCAGGCTCCTCTGTCCATGAAATTCTCCAGGCAAAAATCCTGGAGTGGGTTGCCGTTTCCTTTCCAGGGGGTCTTTTGGACCCAGGTATTGAACCCAGCTGCACTGGGGCAGATTCTTTACCATCTGAGCCACCAGGGAAGCCCATGAGCCCAATAATATAGATCAATTATCATACTGGATACAGGAAATACTTGCTTTTCTGGTATTGTCCTTTTCCCAGATGAGCAACATGTACTTATTAATCAGGCAAAAACACTTTTTTGAGGTTCAAACCAGCATCATTTTTGACATAAGACTGCATGAGGAAAGGTGTAGATTAACTAATAAACGTGTATGGAAACATGGTGATACTCATTATGACAATTCCTTGAATTTCTATACCATTTTGTTCCAATGAGGGCTTCCCTGCTCAGTTGGTAAAGAATCTGCCCTCAGTGCAGGAGACCTGGGTTTGATCCCTGGGTTGGGAGGATCCCCTGGAGAAGGAAATGGCAACCCATTCCAATATTCTTGCCTGGGAAATTCCCATGGACTGAGAAGCCTGGCAGGCTACCGTCCATGGGATCACAAAGAGTCAGATGCGACTGAGCAAACATTCTGTCTTTTGTTCCAATATAAAAACTGACTTTCTTTTAGGGGAAAAATAAACCCAGCGTATTATGACTTTCTCATCTCAATCAAGAAGCTCTAGGATAACAATAATTTTTAAGAAGTAGAAATGTCTAAAAAGCAGGGAGGGAATGAACCAGGGGAATAATCCAAGTATAGTATAATAATCCCAAGTAATCCCTTTGGAAACTGGGAGTGAGGGATGGGCTGAATCAGGCTTTCTAGGGTGGCTGGATATCACCATTTCTAGAGTTGCAATATGTTTGCCTTCGGCCTTTAAGTTATGGTACATTTTACTTGTGAATAATAATTAATGGTGGTGCTGCTAATTAGCAGCATGAAATTACTACAGGGTCCTAATAATCCACAGGTTATGCTGTTGTGTTGGCATGAAAGTGAAAACAAAAACACACTGCTCCATGCACTCTACAGCTTCCTCCTCCCCTCCTCAGGGCAGGTGACGTCAAATGCTCGAATGCCAATAAGAACAGAAAATTCAGTGTCCAGACATTGCCACCCACCTGTGGCCCTCACCAAGTACTCACTAACTTTGAAGGAAGGACTGTTTTCTCTCACTTAGTTTAATTCACCATCTTTCTTATCAAATGATGCAGTAAACAGCTTCATTGTCTTCATCACTGGGATTATTTATCCTGAGCCCTGCTTGTTGGGCACAGTCATCTATATATAACTTACGCTTCCCCTGAACTTGGACAAGGATCCATGGCACCTGCTGTCCAGCCAGTAGTTATTTTAAGCTCTTCTAAAAGAAGCCCTGGCCTTTAACACCTCATCTTTAGAACTCAAAGGAAGAGAATACTTTTTAAATCAAATTGAAAACAGTAAACATTGATTGGTTTAAACCCGTATGTGGGTTTTAAAGTGTTAGGGGGGCTTCTGAGGATGAAATAAAATCTAAAGTAAACCAGACTTCAAAGCAATGAGTTTAAAACTAGCTGTCCATAGGAGTTTTAGTGTGGTTAGTCTGAATACAAATGTTTTGTTTGTATTTGATTTATTCGTCATTCATCAGAGGCCATAATCATTGATGTTTTTTGCATTAAGTCCATGGATCTCCTTTAAACTCATGCTCCACATTTACTTTAAAACAGAGTAACCGAGTCACTGTAAACCACAGGACTGCTCAGTTCCTAAAAGTAGCCTCAACAAGTCCCCAAAAGGACAAAAACAAAAAAGTAAAAAAACTCTTGTTATTTGTAAATTGTCTGTTTCTATATCAATTAGTTTTACAGCAAGAAATTATTTCTAAGTTTTATCTTCTATAAACTTTATTGCCCATCTTTTGCCTCCTCTGAGAGAGAATTTTATTTTTCACTTGTCCTGGCAGTCCCAGCAGATGACCACACTCACACATATCCCTTCCTGAGCAACACATTTTACTTATAAATAAAACAATGGAAAGTTCTTCAACAGTTCACTGGCAGTCTCAAAGTTGCAAGTTTCGCACACCACAAACCGCACCCTACATCTCACAGGGCTCGGGGGAGTGTTTGTCATACTTACCAGAAGGCAAGGCGCTAAGCAGAATAAGAAAGGAGAGGCAAGAGGCAGCAAAAGCTGGTCAGAGCAGCAGCAGCAGCAGGAGACCGGTGTGCGGCTGCGCTCTTACAAGGGAGAGAGAAACCACACACTCACACACACACTCACACACACACACACACACACACACACGCAGGCAGTGGGAGAGCAGAGCAGGGGTGGTGGGGGGATGGGGGGAGAAAGAACATCCTGTGACACAGCAAGAGAGAAATACACCCAGGCTTCAGTAGCCGTCTCCTGGGCAAATGTTGTAGGAAAAAGAAGCAGCTGATAGATCTTAGCTGATAGATCTCCTTGTTTTGTCCTTTAAAAACTTTAAACTCTCAGTACACATGCCCATCGCTAGTGCAGTTTTATACTATGATCATTCTTTGGGACAGAGACCAACTTTTCTTATTTCTTAGTTTATTTCCAGTGTAGCCTGATGATTCATCTTTTCTTCCCCCTCCTTCATATGCTAGCTTAATTAGTGTCAAGTTTCTAATAGGAAACAAGGAAAAAGAGGAACAATGGCATAACAGAAAGAGGTAGTAGAAGCACTTTAATTCTGATGTCATCATTTGGTTTCTTTATAAAATTTGAATATAAATTTAGATGGCCCTTTGGCAGTGGGTTTAGTGCCATCTTCATGTACATGCTAGTTAGTGTGACCTCTGACCCCATGTCTTACTCAGGTAACTGCCTTTATTCAAATAAGCCCCAGGGAAACAGTTGCTTTTTCTTCTTTAGTTGCAGATTTTCCACAGTGACATTTCCAAGTCTTTCCTCCCTTCTCAAATCCTGAACCTGTTCCTTAATCCTCAGAAAAAGAACCTCCTCTTCACTGACCATATAATGCTTCTTTTTCTTAACCTACATCCATTCCCCTTTTCTCCTGTTTCTGGAAAATATGTTTCCACATTTTTCCAAACTGGATTCCACCATCAGAGCTTCTCCTCTTGAGACTGAGTGGCATACTGATACCCACTGTGTTAGGCAGGATCGTGCTGCCAGAAAGGCTTCCACACCCTAATCTCAGGAACATGTGAATATGCTGCTTTACATGGTGAAGGAGACTTTGCAGATGTGATCCACTTAAAGATCCTGAAATAGAGAGATTATCCACAATTACTGGATGGTTCTCATGTAATCACAAGGATCCTTAAAAATGAAAGAGGGAGGCAGGAGGGTCCAGGTCAGAAAAATAGACTTGGTGATCTAAGCAGAGGTCAGAGTGATGGAAGGACACAAGCCAAGGAATATGAGGAGTCTCGAGAGGCTGGGAAAGACAAGGAAGCAGATTCTTCTCACAGTCCTGCAGAAGGGATGCAATTCTGTTGACACCTGCTTTCAGCCCAGTGAAACTCATTTTGGATTTCTGACCTCTAGAACTATAAAAGAAGATATTTGTGTTGTTTATAAGCCACTAGATTTGTGGTAACTTGTTTATGGCAGCAAAAGGGAACTAAAATATCCTACTCCCAAACTTTCTCACCCCTTTATCTGAGTTCAGGGGAGGCATGGATTATGTATAGATGGGTACCTAGTAAGTGGAGGTCAGAATAAAGAAATCCCAGAGGAAGACAATGATGCTGTTTACTGCATCATTTGATAATAAAATTGGTGAATTAAAATGAGTGAGAGAAAAAAGTACTTCCTTTGAAGTTAATGAGTGCTTGGTGAGGGCCATAGTGAGTGATACTTTGTATTGGATTGTAGGAAATCATTCCAGAGCAGTCTCTCGATAAATACAAACAATATTTCGTCAGTGCTTCTCAAATTTAAGTAATGTACATATTCTCTTAACAGAACAACTTAATGTTGAAATTAAAGGAAGAAAAAGAACTCACCATGACTGAAACAAGTTATTGCATTATTACTTCTACCAATATATACTGATATAAAAATAGGTATAACCTTCTGATATTTAATTATTATATGATAGAATTAAAAAATATTACTTCAAAAACCATACAAAAACAATAAATACAATTCATACTAACAACATTACTTTCATGTGACAGATAATATTTTGCTGAACCTGAATTGTTACTTGCAACATGAATACTGGTCCTTTTGAGTTCATGGTATTCTTCTACAATGTGCTTTGTAAAATGACTCAACTTTATCAACTCTTGGTCCATTTAGATTACTACATAAGTTTCATTCATATGACCTGCCATAATTTCGATTGGACTTCCTTTGATACGAATACATCATTTACTGCTCTTTCTCATGTTCCTGCAATTATTAAAATAGTGCTGTTTGGAGCTGACTTAACTAGATATGCACATGATATTGAAGACACAAAATGAAAGATATATGTGTTAACATGGACATGACAGCTACCCAGATGACCCAGAATTGGCTTATATAGGCATACCTTGGAGATATTGCAGTTTAGTTCCAGACCACCAAAATAGAGGTAATATTGCTATAATCAAGTCACATGAACTTTATAACTTCCCAGTGTATATAAATTATGTTTGCATTGTTCTATAATCTATATAGTGTGCACTATATAGTCTGCACCATAGTGTGCAATAGCATTATCTTAAAAATTGTACATACCTTAGTTAAAAAAATACTATTTTGCTAAAAAATGCTCACCATCATCTGAGACTTCAGTGAGTTGTGATATTTTTGCTGAGATAGAGAGTCTTGCCTCAGGGCTGGCTGCTGGCTTATCAGAACTGTGGTTGCTCAAGGATGGGTGGCTGTGGTAATTTCTTAAAATAAGACAACAGTGAAGTTTGCCACATTGATTAGCTGTTCCTTTGGCAAGTGATTTCTCTGTAGCATGCAGTCCTACTTGATAGTATCTTACCCACAGTAGAACTCTTTTCAAAATTAGTCTTTCCTTCCGAGTCTGCTGCTGTTTTATGAACTAAATTTATGTAAAATTCTAAGTCATTTATTGTTATTTCAACTATTTTCACAGAATTTTCACCAGCAGTAGATTTCATCCCACGAGACCGCTTTTCTTTGCTCATGCATAAGAAGCAATTCTTTGTCTGTTAAGGGTTTTGCCATGAGATTGCAGAAATTTAGTCACATCTTCAAGCTTCATTTTTAATTCTGTTTCACCTCTGCAGCTACTTCCTCTATGGAAGTCTTGAATCCCTCAAAGTCATCCACGAGGGCTGGAATCAACTTCTTCCGAACTCCCATGGATGTTGATATTTTGACCTCTTCCCATGTTCTTAAAGGCATCTAGAATGGTGAATCCTTTCCAGAAAGTTTTCAATTTAGTTTGCCCAGATCCACCAGAGGAATCACCATCTATAGCAACTAGTGCCTTAAAAATGTATTTCTTGAATGAGAAGACTTAAAAGTTGAAATTATTCCTTGATCTGTAGGCTACATAATGAAATTGTGTTAGTCGGCATGATAACAACACTAATCTCATAGTGCATCTCCATCAGAACTCTTGGATGACCAGGTGCTTTGTCAATAAACAGCAATCTTTTCAAAGGAATCTGTTTTCCTTGGCAGTAGGTCTCAACAGTTGGCTTAAAATATTCAGTAAACTATGTTGTAAGTAGATGGGCTGTCATCCAGGCTTTGCGGCTCTACTGGTAGAGCATAGGCAGAGTAGATTTAGCATAATTTTTAAGGACCCTAGGATTTTTGGAGTGCTGAATGAACACTGGTTTCAACTTCTCTTTCTAACAAGAGAGTCAGCCTGTCCTTTGAAGTTTTGAAGCCAAGCATTGACTCCTCTTTAGCTATGAAAATCTTAGATGGCATCTTCTTCCAAAATAAGACTGTTTCGTCTACACTGAAAAACTGTTTAGTGTTGCCACCTTCATGAATTACATTTGGTAAGTCTTCTGGATAACTTGCTGTAGCTTCTACATCAAGGACTTGCTGCTTCACCTTGTACTTTTATTTGTTGGAGACAGCTTCTTTCCTTAAAACTCATGAACCAATCTGTGCTAGATTCAGGCTTTTGTTCTGCAGCTTCCTCACCTCACTCAGCCTTCATAGAATTGAATAGGCTTGGGGTCTTGTTCTGGATTAGACTTTGGCTTAAGGGGATGTTGTGGCTGGTTTGATCTTCTATCCAGACCACTAAAACTTTCTCCTTATTGGCCAGAAGGCTGTTTTGCTTATCATTCATATGTTCATTGGAATAGCACTTTTAATTTCCTTCAGGAACATTTACATTCATAACTTTTTGTTGCATAAGACTTAGCTTTTGCCCTGTTTTGGCTTTTAACAGGCCTTCCTCACTAAGTGTAGTCATTTCTAGCTTTTGATTTAAAGTGAAAAATATATGACTTTTCCTTTCATTTAGAAGCCATTGTAGGGTTATTACTTGGCCTAATTTTAATATTATCATGTGTCAGGGAATAGGGAGGCCTGAGGATAAAGAGAGAGACAAGGAAACAGCTGGTTGGTGAAGCAGTCAGAACACCAGCAACACTTAATCCATTAAGTTTGCCATCTTATGTGGATGTGGTTTGTGGTGTGCCAACAAATTACAATAATAACACCAAAGATTTCTAATCATAGATCACCATAAGGAACTTAATAATAATGAAAAACTTTGAAATTTTTGGAGAATTACCTAAATAAAGTGACACAGAAACATGAAGTAAGCAGATGCTATTAGAAAAAAATGGTACCAGTAGACTTGCTAGATGCAGGGTTGCCACAAACTTTTAATTTGTAAAAAATGCAGCATCTGTGAAGAACAATAAAGCAAAACTCAGTAGAATGAAGTATGCCTGTATGTATTAATTACAATTAAAATGAATACAAACACACTAACCAAGGACTCCCAAGAATATATCTGTAACCTGATAGAGGCCCAAAGAACTGGAGTAGGTAACTAAAAAGACAAATTAATAGAGCTCAGTGCTGTATTATAAAATCAATCTTTGAATAATGAAAATTAAATATAAGGAATACATTTATTTTTTGAAAATAAGATTGTTCTGTAAGTATAACCGGAAAATAGTTGAAAGTCAAATGATACTAGAAAGCTTATCACAAGAAACAATATTCTTTCCTCTCCCCATTACCCTTTCCTCTAACTTTGCCATGCTTCTCAAAGCTCCTCAGGTAAAAATATTGAACTATTACAGATATCGCTTCTGTGATTTACTTTCTCATTTGTAAGTAAGATGCCTATAATGCTGTCT